ATGCTGCGCGACAAAAAGATGGTGGGCCGGATGTGCCGCCTCTCCTTCGAGCGAGAGCACGCAGTCAGGCGATCGAAGAGAACACGTTGAAGGTTACCAAGAAGAAGACAACCAAACGCAAGTTACGTGAGGAGCCCAAACCTCAAGCCAAAGTGATATATGTGGAGGACCCCCCTTCGGACGACGATAGCGTCAACGAGTCACGACCTCCAGTAAACTTGCTAAAAGTGTTGCCTCCGACCAAGCTGGTTCGCCGCCAGGGAACATCACACCAAATGGCAGATCAGTTGCCACAGCAGGCATGCGAGCCCAAACCTCGAGGAAAAGTGGCGTACGCCATTGATGATGGCCCTTCCGATGAAGAAATGGCCGACGACACTCGCCCTGCGGTGAACTCCCCGACAGCCTCCCCTCCTGCTAAGCGAATGCGCCGCGAGGAAACGTCGCACGGAGCAGCAGGTTCGGTCCAACCGCAAGCAGGCAATTACCATGGTACGGACCACCCTCTTGCTAAACAGGATGAAAGTCACTCATAGTTCCAGGTTCAGGTCCTCGCCAACAGAAGGCACAAGACCCCCGTGTTGCATATCAGCATCAGGTCGGCGCTCCTGACAACAGTGGCCCAGAGGTCTCCCGAACCATGAATGCACATACCAGGCCTCTGCACCCACGCCCTGAACATATCGACAGTGGCTCGGAGCCAGTGCATAATCCCCGTGGGACTTTGCATCGACCTACCACCCAAGACGATGCTGCCTCAGACCACGCTGGGGGCTTTCGGTTCAGACCTCCTCAGGCCCAATACTATAACGACGTCAACATGCACGATGAAGACGAACACAACGCGTATATGGAAGACTATCACCATCCGGTTCGTATGGATAACCAACACCTCCGACTTCCCCCTCAATTTTCAGGCCAACACCCACGTCAATATGGGCCGTCTGGCTTTGGTGGAAGAGGACGTGGCGGCCGCTCCCAATATCGAGCATATGCTCATCCATATGAGTTTAGTGGGTCCTATGGGCAAGGCCACGAAGGCTTTGCTGGTTACGGCCATCAGAGGTTGGGACGTGGGCCATTGGAAAGTGGTGATGACTCTGACCGATTCTCGGAGGGTAATCCGCTACGTAGACAATACCCTGGTGAGGGTCATGGTTTCTGAGTGTTTGTCATCGGATGGGGAGCTCAATTACATCTTTACTGTGCGTATCATCTTTACTCTTTGTTTCTGGTAAACAGGGTTACACCAGACTTAGAATAGTTCTGGTAGACAAGGCAACACTGTACATAGCATACTTTATTTCTGGTAGATAGAGCATGTTGTGGACTCTTACTTAGCGGTTTCTGGTAGACTTTGCTTCGTCATACTTGTATTTCAGGTAAATATAAGTATTTGCTGGCCTTCTACTTTGTTTGCTGATAACAGGGCTAAGGCTGACTTATACTTGTTTTTTGGTATATGGAGTTTACTTGGGGTGCAAGCTAAGGTGGACTTATACTTCTTCAACATCTCTGTGTTCCCGCTCAATTCACAAATAATGGCCAACATCCATGACAATATGGGCCATCTGGCTTGGGTGGGTCTGGCTTTGGTGGAAGAGGACATGGTGGCCACCCTCACTATTGAGGATATGCTCATCCATATGAGTTTAGTGGGTACTATGGACAAGGCCACAAAGGCTTGCCTGGTTATGGCCTTCAGAGGTTGGCACATGGGCCTTTGGAAAGTGGCAATGACTCAGACTGATTCTCAGAAGGTAATCCACAACATAGACAATACCCTGGTGAGGGCCATGGTTTCTGAGTGTTTGTCATCGGATGGGGAGCTCATTTACATATTTACTGCGCGTATCATCTTTACTCTGTGTTTCTGGTAAACAGGGTGACACCAGACTTAGATTAGTTCTGGTAGACAAGGCAACACCATACATAGCATGCTTTATTCCTGGCAGATAGAGTATGTCGAGGACTTAGACTTAGCAGTTTCTGGTAGACTTAGCTTTGTCATACTTGTATTTCAGGTAAATATAAGTAGTTGCTGGCCTTCTTCTTTGTTTGCGGAAAATGGTGCGATTCTGTTTCATTGGTAAGATTGCTTTTATATGGTAGAATAGGACTCACAGTATGAGTCCATTGCTGTGGGATTATTCCAATGGTATTTGTATGGTATGATTCCATTGCTATGGGACTATGGTATGGTATGATTCCATTGCTGTGGGATTATTCCAATGGTATTGTATGGTATGATTCCATTGCTGTGGGATTATTCCAATGGTATTGTATGGTATGATTCCATTGCTATGAGATTATTCCAATGGTATTGTATGGTATGATTCCATTGCTATGGGACTATCCCAATGGTATGGTATGGTATGATTCCAATGGTATTGTATGGTATGATTCCATTGCTATGGGATTATCCCAATGTTATGGTGTGGTATGATTCCATTGCTATGGGACTATCCCAATGGTATGGTATGGTATGATTCCATCACTATGGGATTATTCCAATGGTATGGTATGGTATCATTCCAGGTCTATGGCATTACTCCAATGGTATGGTATGGTATCATTCCATGGCTGTGGTATTGTTCCAATGGTATGGTATGGGATGATTCCATAGCTATGGTATGATTCCAATGGTATTGTATGCGTTCATTCCATGTCTGTGGGATCATTCCATTGATATGATATAGTCTGGGGTAGGAGGTGCATATGCCAGGGTGTACTATTGAGAGGTAATGACAAGATGTTAGCAGGTTAGCATGGGTGAATCATCATTGATCCTGCATTTCTCCTATAACTGCCCACACACCAATTTATCAAGAAACACT